GGCACAGCCAGGAGAACACAGGACGGAGCCAGGTGGTCCCGGAGGCTCCATTCCTACAGCCCCTCCCTACCCCCCCAGCATGTGCTGGGCCATGGGCCACGCAGGTGGCAAAGCCCATGCCACTCTCTGCACGCTCCCAGTACCCCTTCTGGTAAGAGCCTGGTGGGGGGAAGGGGTGCTCAGAGCCGTGGCCCCACAGGGGAATGAGGAACAGTTTGCACTAGGCCAGTGATGGCGAACCTATGACACTCGTGTCAGAGGTGACATGCGAACTCACTTTCTTGGTTGATTTTTCTTTGTTAAATGGCATTTAAATATATAAAATAAATATCAAAAATATAAGTCTTTGTTTTACTATGGTTGCAAATATCAAAAAATTTCTATCTGTGACACGGCACCAGAGTTAAGTTAGGGTTTTTCAAAATGCTGACACGCCGAGCTCAAAAGGTTCGCCATCACTGCACTAGGCAGCGTTTCATTCCTTAGTCCCAACATTGGGAATCACCTGAACACCAGCCGTGGGGAAGGGCCAGCCTGAGGGGCACACAGCCTGGCGTGCGGTCATTAGCTGTGTTTCCCGGGAGCTTTAAACAACACAGGGATTCGTGTCTCCACAGAGTCAAAGAAAAAACCCCAAACAAAACTGTGCAGGAAATACCACAAAGCAGAGGTCCCTGGGCTATGGCATTATATGACCGATTCTTTATGCTTTTCAGTTATTTTTAAGTCTCAAAGAATGTGTATTCCTCTTGCACCCCCTTCACCCTAAAACAGGCGGGTCTATTTCCTTTCAAAAGGTAGGGGGTCCCCCTCCCCAAGGTCCTCCCCCAGCAATCACCCCAGCACGGTCCATTTGTGAACGGGCGGCCCAGACAGGCTGCGTCCTTGGTGCGGGCTGGGTGTGCTCTGACCTCGCTTGTCCTCAGCGCGCTGCCTGGTACTCAGAGGGAAGTGGGGTTTTCCAGCATTTACTGGGGCGTCAGGATGCCCCCCTGCCACCTGCCGACAGCCAGGCTCCAGTCTCCTTCTTGCATCACAATCGGAACCCGGGTGCTCTGGGCTCTGCCTAGAACTCTGAGGGGCGCCCCAAATGGAGGTGCCTACAAAGGGGGCCGAGAGCTGGGTGGGGGGTTGAGGGAGGGGCTGTAAGTGACTCCTCTGGTCAGAGTGTCAGACACTCGGTCACCTCCTGGTTTATATAGGGCAGCAGGGGACACAGCTCCACACAGGGGGGGCTGGTCAGGCGCACACCATCCATGGTGTGGGTGACAGCACCCGGCAGGCAAGCTCCTGTGGGGGCTGGGAAATGAGAAGCTGCCCAGAGGGGTCTGCTTCGGGAAGGCTGGGGGTGTGGGTGAGGGAGGAGGTGCCAGGAGTCCCCGAGTCAGGAAAACAATGAGCAAAAAGAGAGACAGAGGCAGCCAGAGGACCTCAGATGGGAGACGCCAGCGGGCTCAGAGCAGTGAGGGCAGAGTGTGGGGGGCTGAGGGTGAGCCTCACCAGAGAGGAGGGACTCCCCAGGAGGGAGCCCCCGAGGCACCCTCTTTGTGCACCCACCATGGCTCTGCGTCCCTGTGAAGAGGGAGGGGCCTTCTCTACTGCTCCTCACCAGCCCCAGGCCCAGCAGGTGCCCGGCACACAGAGGTCCCCATAGCCACTCCAACCACCCGCATGGGCAGCCAGCACACTCCAAGTGCAGAGCCGCAGGACGAGGCAGGCGCCCGACAGGCGGCTGTGGGGCTCCAGGCCAGCTCGGTGTCAGCCCCAGGGTGGAGGAAGGGACCAGGCTGGGCATGGGCCGCACAGGTGTGTCAGCCAGAGAAACTGAGTCACCGGCCTGGTGCCAAGGAGCCTTGGGGTTGCAGGGAGCTGGGGCCTGACAGTTACACCTCCTGGCGGAAGGGGCTGCCCAGCGCAGGTCTGTTTTCTCAGCGCCCCCCAGCAACACCGCCGACAGCCTGCTGCTCACCTCCTGCCGTGTGGCCCGGCCTCAGCTGCCTCCTAAGGAAAGGAAGGCTCTCCAGGGGCCAGGAGAGGCGTTACTAAGCTGGGGAGGCGAGAGGGCCTGGGGAGCCGTTGGGCCTCAGGGAACCAGCCCAGAGGCCAGGGGGGCAGCCCCAGAGAGAACCCCACACTGTCCCCAACATGCTCCCTCTCCCAGGAGACCTGACTCCTGACTCCGTGACCTCTGACCAGGCCTGGCCTGTCCATCGGCCCTGCCTCCACTGCCATGTTTCTGCATCCGAGTCCTTCTGCCACGAGGGGCCGTGGGAAGCGAGGACCCCCAGGCCCGAGGGGCCAGGTTCCAGTACAGACACCACCCTACCCTCCGGACAACCTTGGACAGTCTCAGCTTCGCCACGCCCCTGGGTTTCCTCCTCTGTTTGCTGGGCCCCGGCTCCAGGGACGGCCCAAGAGGAGGGGGAGCTGGAAGCCACCAGGACATCACCTGGGGCTGTCGTTGCCGACGTCCAGGGAGGGTCATCCTCTGTAGCCACAGCCCCCCTCGGTGGCCAGACCAAGACCCGTGGCCTCTGTG